CGGAACTCTACCTGGTCAGCCGAAAGTCCTGATCCTTGGCGTTCGATGCTTCTTCGCTCGACAGCACCGAGCTCTCCTCCGCCGATTCCTCTAGCACAGCGTGCGCATCGGGGGCGCGAAGTGAACCTCTTCGGAGGGTGCAGTCGGCTGGCCGCTGGCAGTCCTCTGCTCGGGAGGAGCCGGTTGCAGTCTCCTGCATCCACTCCTGCAGGGACACGAAATGAATGCGAGCGACAAGTCGCACGACGGGATTCACAGAACTTGTCCTCTTCTTCCATTCCTTTGAGCCGGAGCATTTCCTTAAGGCCCTCCGTCAGGCGCTCCAGGTGCAGCTTCTGCACAGCCAAGAGCAAGCCGAGACAGCTGAAGCTCAGATATGCTCTATGTAGACGTTATGTCCACTGCATTCCACTGCATGAAGACATGCAACACGCATCTCAGACTTGACGGCCTCCAGCTGCTCATCCTGGTCGTCACACTTCTGTTTCAAGCTCGTTTTCTCCTTCAGGCGCTTGTCAAACTGGAGCTTGAGTTGCGTCTGTTCCGGATTCGGATTCGGCCCGCCTCCTGCAAGCGCTCGCTGTGAGTCCGGAGCTCGTCGTAACGACGCTTCAACTCGTTCTTCTCCTGCACCGGGCCCGGTCCACAATTTACAAGAAAGTCTGCGTGTGTGCTCCACGACTCCAAAAGCATTTACAATCTACCAGCCTCCACCATCGCACGCATTTGCTCTTCGTGCTTCTCTGCGTTCTCCTTCAAGACCTGGCTCCTGACTGAGAGCCTGGCGACCTCCAAATCCAACTGCTCCCTTGGCAGCAGCACGATTCGCTGGAACAAGCACCTGAAGTCCTGCAGCGCTCAGCCTAAACTGGCCAAGGGGCACCCTCGTCCCACGAGTGATAGAATGGATTATGTCCAGGAGGCGTGTTACTTTGGCCTCCGCTTCGATCCTGGCCCAAGCGCCATGCTCAAGAGAGGTGGACAGTGGCGGCCTCACGCCAGGAGCTTCATGACTTCTGAGAATGCCCGCCTGCGCTGAGTCTCCTCGCGCAGCTTTACCTTCAGTTCTTCGAGCTGCTCTTCACAGTGCTCTCGACCACACTCTTGTCGCACGAGGATCTCCATGCACTGGCGGTGGCCTAGCGCACACAGCTCGAAAGCACAGGACTGCGATGCACAACAAACTGCATCTCTCTTCGTCCACCACGAGGGCTGCAGCAAGAATGGAAGCGGCTTCGCCGCAAAGTTTCAGCGCGTCTAACTGCAGGCTCAGGCACGAGACCGCCACGCCGACATCGAGTCCTCAGCAGGGCCTTGCTCCAGATCGTCGGGTGGCGCAAGGTGCACTGCTATGTCTGCCTTGGCGGCCCAAGCATACTCAAGAGGCACGGAAAGAGGAAACTGCGACGCCTCTGTTCAGAGACCTCCTGCTCTCAGCCGGGCGCCACTTCTCCGTTTTGATGATCCGGCTCAGCGGGCGGCGCCCTCTCCATCACGGACCTTTCGTCGGAGAGCTCACCCGTCTGCACGAGTGGTAAGCAGACATGCCTTCTCCAAAGAAGCGAAACTCTGCCCAGGCACTGCAGTTGCAGTTGGAAGGCCGTGGTCCGTCTGTAGAGCCGGGCAGGTTGCTGCAAGCAGCGGTCTGACTAGATGGCCCAAACTCTCTTTCCATGATTTCCATGACATGAATCTGTCGCCGCTTCTGCAATGTTGAGATGGTGATACTGCCCACGTCACACTGGTTTAGGGGAAACGGACTACCACTACCACCAACCCACCCAATGCTTGGGAGAGCAAAAGATGCCCAGTTGCACAGCCCTGAACCTAAACCTGCGGTTCACTTGCCGATGCTCCGAAACCGGTCAGGCACACCATGGAAGTCTCTGCCGCAGATCTCACCTCTCGTACAGGTGCAGCCATCGGCTGGAAGAGGTTTGACTTCGAGGCTGTCAGGTAGGGATGCAGTGTCGAGGCCTTGTCTTCGATCTTTAGCAGCATGCGGCTGGTAACAACTTACATGCAGAACAATGCTGGCGCAACCAAACCGTGCGACCTATGCAATCATGCACAAGCAATATCAACAGTAATTACTCACAGTACTCTTGCACTGAAAACTGAGAGTTTGTACTCTTCCATTCCGGTAAAGCACTCTATTGCAAAAGTTTGCCCCTCCGGATTGAAAACTGACGGATGGTGATTTCCGTACCACAGTCGACCTAATCCCGGCAAGAAGGCGCAAGTGTGTGCGTCTGCCTGACTGCCTGCCATGTAGACATGGTGGGGGGGCTCCTCTCCGTTTACCCCAGATTCCCTTCGGCAGAGCGAGGGCCCAAAGCTTCGCCGGGCCTCCGCGGCGATCTCATCGGGGACTCCGATCTCAGACAGGTCCGTGTCCTCAAAAGGCTCGGGTTTTCCCGACTTTTCGAGGCGTAATCGAATATCCCAATTACCCCATAGTCAGATCAGGCGGACAGCCGTGCTCCAGCAGCTTCCCCCCCAATCTCGCAGCCCTTCGTCCAAGCCGGTCCTTCGCCCGAGTTTTCAGTCCCATCAAACGCACCACCTGCATCCGTGCGTCGGGACTTGCTCTGAGCACTTTTACGTTCAAGCTCCTTGGGGTTGGAGCTTGGACTTAGGACGCTGGTGCTGATACGAGAGTCCGGAATCCAGCGACTGCACCCAGAAGACCGGAGATTCTCGCTCTCTCTTTCTCTCGCTCTCTCTCTCTGGAAAGGTCCGTGAGAAAGAGAAGAGACTCAGCTAGTCAGCCTTGGAAGTAGATAGCAGCGAACTGAGCCTCGGGCCCTGCCTGACCCGGGGGCTCTCTCTCCCTCTCTCTCTCTTGCTTGCTTGCTTGCCGGGGGTGTGAGGGGGTGACCCCTCTGGCCCTCAGGCTTACTCCACAAAGGCGCGCGTCTGTCAGTTCCAGCTTCGCCCTCCCAAGCACTCTCGGTTTTTTGGTCGAGGCGGAAACCCCCATTTGATCAGGCTTGGACCTAGTGCTACACGTAGCTACGCCGGCTTGGGATCCCATGCCTGCAAACGAAGCCCGGAGTTCGAAACTGCTTCGCACCGCCTTCGCATAAGCGAGGTTTTCGGTTACGATCTTCCCCATCTCTGGAAAGTGCCACCCGTACCTGGGCTTCCAACGACGAAAGCTGACTTGGCTGAGGCCAGGCTTGAGTTACGAGTGTCCAGAAGGTGGTGCAGAGCAAGCCCCTGCCAAGATGCCACTCGCGGAGTCGCATGGCAAAGTTATTCAACTCCTTATCCAGGTCGTCCAGCAAGCCGACAGCCTCTCCACACAAGTGATTGACACGAAGAGTGCCGAGCTGCAATTTCTGACCACGAAACACTTCTGTGTGTCTACGTACATGCGGACCACGCTTTGCCACCCTGATCAGTGCAACCTCACCTGGATGATCATGGTGTCAACCTTGTCCGGCGAGAACTTTAGCTTGAAACGAGACCTGGCTTCGGAATTGAGAATACGGGTCTCGAGTATAAACTAAACCCTGAATGATGGCATCCTTAGTCAGAAACCCTTATTGAGAGTGTGGGGCCCGCCTTACCAACGCCCGAAGTCCCAAACCAGAGCAATCTGAGTCCTAAACCCGAAGCCTGAACTCAGCGAGAAAATCAGAAGATCCCCATGCTACAGCCGAGGCGCAGCGTGTGCGCTAAGCCAAGCGACATTGCCTTCACCTGTAAGGAGTTTCTGGGGTGTTACAAGAACTTGTTGGTGTTTTTGTAGGTACGCAGAGACGTTGCAGCGATGTAGAAGGCTCCACTGTGAAGGTAGTCCGACATTGGGGGGCTTGGACTGACTCGAACACAAAAAAGCAATGGAGTCAAGATGGCAAATTTCTGGAGCTTGTCATCTTCAACTAGTGCATGTCACGGTTCAAAGCCAGCGGAACCCCAGCAAGACCAGCCTACCCCCAAAACACAAAGCCCAATCAAAGAGCGCTTCTGGAGGGGCCTCCTGCTCATCGAGGCCCTCGATCAGCTCAGTCCTGAGATGGAGAAAAACCCGCTGCCGGATTGAAGTTCACAACGGAAGGTCAGGTGCCTGTCCGATAGCATTTGTGTGGATAACTGGGGGCTGTGAGTGCAGTGTGAGTTGTTCAATGACGGTCTCGAGAGCCGGGCAAGTGCAACCGCACGCCGCGCATGATCTCCTTCAAGTTCTCGCTGAGAACGCTCACCTTCGTGACGGCTTACAGACTCGGAGATGCATCGTGAAACCTGACCTGTTCCGCTGTGCCCGGGATGTCTGAAAGCTTGGGCCGATGCCTCCAAACCGAGCTTCTTGTTAATGTTGACGCCCAGCGACTTGTCCAGAACCTCGACATGAGAATGGGCAGGAACAGCAAGCGAAGATGCTGAGGGCAGCAACGACGACGGCTACGAAGACCGTTGACCGTACCACGGTAGGCGAGCAGCAGATCACAACTACGAGGATGATGATATTCATGATGCTGATACGACGATTGCGATCGTGCTGCATGTAGTTTGTCGGGTGATGGTGACAGCTGTCGTAGTCGTAGTAGTCTTCGTTCCTCGTCCTCGTCCTCGTCCTCGTCCTCGCCGTCTTCGCCGTCGTTGTCGTCGTCGCCGTTGCCGTCGTTGTCGCAGCAGCAGCAGGAGTCGTCGTAGTCGTCGTAGTCGTACTCGTACTCGTAGTAGTAGTCGTCGTCTTAGTAGTAATGGCGGTAGTGGTGGTGGTGGTAGTGGT